CTAACCCGTTGACGGCATGGCGCGTTTTGGTTTATTTTTTGTCAGCGGGGCAGGCACGATTTGGCGATTGCGGTCGCCTCACTTAAAATCCATGGGGTATGTCTGGTAAATGCAGCACCTGGATGGTAAAAAATTACTCAACAGGGTATCATGCGGTATAGTTACTCGGAGGTAAAGCATCAGAGTTTCGATTAAAGGGACGTGAGGCGGTTTCAAAATTACTTTGAACGCAGTTGTTGAAGTAAAAAATTTCTAGATATCCGGATAGGCTTGTATTTATCTTTGATACTTTTTTGGTGCTATCGCAATCGGGGGCATTCCTCTAGGACTAAGCCTAGGACGGGTCAGCAACTCCGGGGAAATGGAAATGCTCACGCACCCTGGAGTCTCTCATGCCACGCCTAAGGCTAGTTCCGCTTTAACAAAAAGGACATGTTTAGCGCGGTTCAAATGCATTGCCACCACAATGCCCCCGTATCTTGCGATAGCGCCCTTTTCTTATCTAGACGTTCATGATAATAAAGAGAAAGCGAGAAATAACTGAACCCACATTTCCATAATGCTTGGAAAGCCTTTCCCAAACTAAAGCATATTTAATCGATCTGTGATTCACGGTGTCTATGATTATGTAATATGGCCTAAGGAACGAATACAAAGAATTAGGAAAAGTTGGGCATGCGTAAAAAATGAAAGTGATGAATGCGGCATACATAGTTGTCACAATGTTCAACGTGGCCTACAAGAGCGGCACACATGATTGCCGTGCTATCGGCAATGCGTTAAAGACCTTGTCAGTGAAGCACTAACCATAGGATCGCTTCATTTAGCACAATACAACAAATTCTCAATTTCTTTCCTTCGCACTACTTCTTTGAGGGCGGAAGTGGTGTAGTGGCAAGTGGCACGCTTACCACGCGAGCGGTCCGGGGATCAAATCCTGGGTCGTGAGTCGCCCGGGCCAACCAAGCCTTCCATCCCTCCGAAACGTCGAACGTAAACTTTCAACTTTTCTGCCGTTGGCTGAATCGCCCAAGACCCTTGAGATGACATTGTAGGATGTGATATCACAGAAGGCTGTTGTAGGTTTGTGACACCAGGGGCTGAGCGCAGCACTACCCGGCCGACATGGATCCTCAAAAATGTGCACCTCTGTCCATTTCTCTATTGTCTGACCATGTGTGATTCTATGCAACCAGAATGAAAGGTGCAGGCTTAAGGACTTAGCCCCTGTCCGGTTTTACTGCTACCCACCTCCCAGAGCTGTTGCAACAATCTAGGAAAAAGACGAAATCAGATCGCAGATATCATCGAAGTCGTCCTCAAAAGATGGAAGGGAATTTGATGGAAAACGAATCGGATTGGATTTGTCAGGATGACCTCTGAGACTCACATCTTACAGCTGTCAAGCACTTGCACGTGAGTGTCAAGAAGAACCACTACAAAATTTGGACGTCGTAGCAAATCGGCGGTATCAAGAAGAGTAAGCTTAATAGGTGCACTCTTGAAGGAAGAAATAAGGCTGGGAAAGAAGTTCTTGAAAAACAATTTCTGCGTTATACGTTATAATATCGCGTTATTCTGCTGATAAGGTCGAATATCCTTAGTTATTCATTGAGAGCGTAAGCATAATTTGAACGATAGCGATGACCAGCCAAACAAGCCAAAAACGTTAACATCCACCTAAGCCGCAAAAATGTCAAACAGAATATAAGAGCCGAATTGAGGACAGCCGTTATCGTGATGACAATCTCATTTGTTCTGGAAACCTCATCCGCTCAATGCTTATGCTCAAGGGACACCAACAGATAATTTGGTTTGAGACTGCGTTATTCCTGCCATTGGTAAAGGCGCGGCTCGCAATCGGTCAAGTGGTACCATTTTGTCGTTCTCCGGAAATTCAACAGAAGAAGCGAAGAGTATTAGTGTGAAGGGCAAAAACAATAAAAAAAACATATACACTGAACTTCTTTCGAGGTGACAGTGAATAAGAGGCACAGCGCTGAGAGGGAAGGACAAAATGAGAGATCGCACGTACTCGAGAGGGCGCAGACGGCACGTGTGCTGCGATTAATGGGAATGGCGCAGCGCTTGCAGCGATACGAGCATGTTTACTTATTTTTTCACCACTTTTCAAGTCGCCACATTACCATTTCCCCTGTTTCAGGAGTCTAGTAATCTCAAATCAAGGATTTTTTCAAGAATTCAATCGAGACCCGTGCCTTTAAGTTTACACTACGTTAGAACACAATTCTCAAAGTAGTGCGAATAACTGCTCCCAAACATACAGATCCTTCGCCTTGAACTCAATCACGCGGCTTCGAGTCCTAATTTGTGATTCGCCGTCACCCGACAAAGCTTGTCGTGTCCTTGTAGTTAACGAACATGCGTTCCGTTCTGTTTATGATATCACCCGATCCAACCCCTTCACGCGCGACCATATAAAAAGCGATAGCAGCTTGACGATCTCCAATGTGATCTCATAAAAGACATCGTTTCTTCTGTTGTCGCTGGCCTTTTTCTGAAGGTTTTTTCAGCTGTTATTTTTGCCAAAGTTTTTCAGTTTTCTCTTTCAGATAATGTCGAATCTGCTACTGGTAGTGCTATCTGTGCTTGCTTTTGCTTGCTTTGTGGAAGCCCAATGGGGTGAGTTGCAGGAGAGCATTTTTCCTACACTGAAGAATGGCCTGGAATCAACAGCTTCTCTTATGTTTTTACCACCCAGATTTAGGGCACCTGTTTCTCTCCCGAATTTGTCGAGTACCTGATACCCCTGATTTTATCCATTAGCCGCTGTAGTCTATTAATGTACCTTCTTGATAATTCATCGGGTAGTAGAATAGCTCTTTTTGTGGCGGTAGACTCGGGTTGTCTCTCTGCCTTTTTGTCTCTTTTTCTGCCCACTCTTTGTGGTTTTGTGTTGACTTTTAGATTCAAAACTGACATTTCTCAGGAAAAGACGGAACTCCTCCCTCCCTGATGGTCTTAGGGGCAACTTGAGTGCAATAGTAAATAAATAAATAAGTAAATAAATAAACTCTAGTACAAAATTGTAAACAAGCAGTAAACACTCCCATCAAGGCGTTCAACAGCCTGTTGTTGTTTCGAGTTGTCCAAAAGGATTCCTACTACAATCCGTTGCGTTCCGATCACGTACAGGAATAGCCTGATAGGACCTGCCAGTCGCTTGAGTATACAGCGAAATATTGAGAAGATTTGATTGAAGTCCACATAATTTTTGTAATTATTCTTTGTAAAGTCTTGGGGCGGAAGTGGTGTAGTGACAAGTGGCGCGCTTACCACGCGAGCGGTCCGGGGATCAAATCCTGGGTCGTGAGTCGCCCGGGCCAACCAAGCCTTCCATCCCTCCGGGGTCGGTTAATTGGTACCAGACTTGTCTGGGAGGATAAAAACACTGACTTGTACATCGGCTGGCCCCCGCAAGTCATTGTATAGGGCCACATCGCATTCAAACGCCACTACGAATGTACAAATGGAAGTAGAATGCGTGCCGCATCCCAAAAAGGGATTGATCAACGGCAAATGCTTATCCTTTTTTAAGCCTCCTTGTGAAGTAATCCACTGTAAAGTGATGGTTTCCTTAGCAGAGAATTTGAATGGGATAAAGTTTTCTGCCCAGTGATACCATAGCCCTTTTATATTTTCAAAACAATGTATGATCTGTCTGATGATTTTCAATATTTCAGGCTATGGATATCGGCCGTGGGGTGGTTTCGGCGGCTACCGGCCATGGGGTGGCTACGGAGGCTACGGCGGCGGCTATGGATTTAGACCAATGTGGCGACAACCATTCTATGGCGGCTACGGCGGGCCATTTGGTGGTTACCACCCCTACGGTGGTGGCTTCGGTTACGGCAGACCATTCTTTGGATGAAGTCGTCACCTCGTCTCTCCCCAGTTGACTTTCAAAGTTATCATATTCCTAGAGGCTGTATTTATTGTATTAATTATTGTTACAATTTGTAATTATTGCTTATGTAGTAATAGACGATCTCTATTGAAAATATTTTTACATTTTACTCAAGAGTAAATGTTTTTATTTGCAAGTTTCTCAAACTGAAAAAGTACACACGTGCTAAGCCAGTCATGTGAAAGTTTTGAAAGGAATCCTTTTCCACTTTCATTCAATAATAAGTAGGATTCGACAAGAGAGACTGTACTGCAAAAGCAAAGAAGCTGTCAGCAACTATGTGGAAGATGATGGTAATGGAATTTGGGGTGGGGGGGGGCACCCATTGTGTTTTCCAGTGATAGAGACAAGAATTGAAGAGTCCAAAGGAACGGTTCTGAAGGGGAATAGACATCTCCACCTAGGCCTAAGGATAGAGAAGCTCCCAATGGGATGACCAGCTGCACAAAATTCGTTGGCATATGGGCAGAATAAGTGAGATGTGGGACACTTATCGGTCCCTGGTGAAGTATACTTCGAGCGGGTCTTACGGATTATTTTATCCTTAGTGTTAGAGAGCCTAAGAGAGCCCCCTCTAGCAGGAATAAGACACAAAGAGTGCCCCCAAAACTCGATTTAGACATGGAAGAAGTATGAATTGGTGATATTGTGGTGTTACATTAACTGATTCCCCGTGTCATTTGAAGGCGGATAGCACAGAAGTCGGTCGCGGATTAAATCGAAAGGCAGAGACAGCAAAGGGTATAGAGGTTAAGAAAAAACTGTGGGCGGTCAGAGGGATGAGGAGTGGAAAGAGACGGGAGAGACTTCGATTGCTACTACGGACCTGACCCCTCACAAAAACGCATTGTCTTTGGAGCACGGGATATCTTTATGATGAGCACATTTACTTTTCTTAAGTCATCATGCCACTTCGTATTCCTCCAATTACCACGTTGCCACCACTTGATGCGTTCCCCTGCAAGTGGCACGTTGCACTCACACTTACTTCGATTCCTGCAACTTTCGCAGAAGACTGAACAGGAAACGGTAGACATCACCGCATTATAAGAACATAAACGTAGAACGAAATGTGGCAATTTCACCCGTGAAGAAGTGCCACTGGTCACGAAAGTCACGAAAGTCACGAAAACCAAGAAACTGGTCTGCAAATGCATGAAGAGCACGTAAACAACGCTGAACACAAACCCCTTTGCGTCAGCAGTCGCGCTTCACTTTTTCTAGATGACGCACAGAGAGTCACAGTCATTATTCGCCGTTTGGATGGTATTTTTCAGCAAAAGATTAAGGCCATCATTTTTAGCCTGAAGCTTT